TTGTATATGTGTATCATCTTTCAGTAGTCGCAAACTATTGACTAAAGAAGCTCAGCTACACCTATAGATTTTCAATCAAACTGTAGCCATTTTTCTACACAAGCAATAGACTATTGGGATGGATCATACTAAAAATCAAGCTATTGACTGGTTAAAGCAATATATCAGGACAACTGTTTTGGGATAATCCAAAAAATATCATCACAGTGATGTCATTTTGTGACGTCGTTATTTCATCTATCCATGTGTATAAATATTGGCAAGGCAAAAAAGTCATTAACTAAAAAAACTCAATCATATTTGGGGGTTTCCTAAGTCATGGGGGTACCCCAAAATCATCCATTTTTGTTTGGGATTTTCCATGAAAAAAAACAACCAGCTATTGGGGATCCCCCATGGATTGGAAATCCCCATTTCACTGACTGGCGAACCAACCCTTTTTCGGGAAGTTTCAGCTGAAAAAATGTGACGAAGCCGGCAAGAACGATCAAAACCCGTGAAGTTTTTCAGCGAATTTACCCAATTATAGGCCCAATTTAATGGTGTCCTTTTAGAAAAATAAGTCTCGGTTTGGTATACGATTCGTTCTCATCTACCAATATTCAGGTTGGTTTTTGAATGGGAAACTTCTACTAATCAACCCTCAAGTCGTTGCTGATGTCAAGCACCGTGACCAGCCACCCAAAAAATGAGTAGATGATAGATGTTAGTGATATGCACTAGGTGGTTAATCCGCCTAGCCAGCCATGTGGCTAGCCACCATAAGTTAAGTTAGTGATAAACAACTATCTTGAAACATATTAGTCAATGGGAAGGATTATCCCATAGAATATGGAAAATAAAACATGTCTGAAACCACCAACCAGCTATTGTTGATATTTCCATATCACTAAGTTATGGTGGCTCAACCGCCTAGTGCGTGAATTGCCAACTTGACAACTATCGTTTAAAGCACCAAATCTGGAAGACATGTAACTAGTAAACCACTAACGCATCACTTTGGGTGTTGCTGAAAATTGGGCTACCGCAAACCATTTTCTTCCACGTTGCAAATCTTGGATGGTTTTGGGGGTCCCCCATTTTGAGAAATTTCAAGGAGATGCATCATCCACTTGACCATGGTTGACCCAGTCAAAAAAAAGCAGCGTCAAACACCTACGAGAGGACATTTCTCAAACTGGTTGGTCAATGTGGGTCCCTGACCAATTTATCCTGTAGGCTTCATGAAAGACTGACATCAGGTCCGAATTGGCCAGTATTTCTGAAACCATTCCATGTTCATTTCATCACCATGAAAAAATTGTCGTGTTGCAACGTACGGGCGGAAAAAAATCACCAAGTTGTCACCCCATCAGGTTCACCCTCATGGATTATGACATCACTCCCAAGCTATGAAGGAAAAACGTACGTATTTCAAGCCTGCAATGACAGTATTTAACCACACCACTATTTATGAATTATGCAATATATCCGCTGATTTTTGATGGTTCAATCCAGTCATTAGTCAATTACCCCCCCCTTCTAAGTGACCTAGACCTTTTCCAATGGCAAATTTTTGGTGGACACATTTATTTTCCAAACCCCTGGCTGGCAGGGTCGTCATATAATTTTTCTGGAAGGCAAGGTATAGCAATCAATTTATTCTACGGAATGTTGAATTTACAATTCTTGTAACTAAATAGTTGATGAACACCCCAAGTTCACAATCTTATCAAATATATATATATCCACCATTCTTGATGGACAGTAAAAATTTCCAAACTGGTCTCAGTTCAAAAGATCCATGTTCATGATATCTCCCCTTTCAACATCATTCAAACACAATTTTCTTGTGAAATCCCCCTGGAAATCCACCATTTCCACGCGGCAAGGCACGTCGCGAAACAAAATGGGCCCCTTGTCCGCGGTCGCTGCTTCGGCGCCGTTCACCAGCGACGGGGCTGCGGCGAAGGCCAAACCGAAGCCTGGCGAAGGAGTGATGTTGAGTTGCAAAGATGCAAACAAATTGAAGACGTGTATATATATATATATGTATAATTATATATATATATATATACAAAAAATACACATTATATACATGTATACAATTACAAATGGCATGTACAATATATATATATGATTATATATGTAATATATATATATATCTATATTATCATATGCACTATGTGTGTATGTATGGAACATGATCTATATAAGATGCTATACATACATGTGTAGTCGCATGTGTACATGATAATACATGTATTACATGTCATGTGTACAACCCAGAAATGATGGTTAGTTGTGAACCAACGGACAGTTGCTGACATTGGACTTTTTTTGGTGCGTTAATGATGTCTTGCAGGGGTGTCATTATCATGAAAGCATGGGGATGCATTGAGAAATGATGTTGGGCTGATCATGTTGATTCATAATGAATCAATCATGATTATATAGTTCGGATTGGACGTTATCTTTTATATCCTGGGAGTGAAATTTGTGCAGTTCTGATGAGGCTTTGTTGCTCGTGTTCTGGGAATCAATCATGCTTCGTTCTGGTTGGAATTGATTCTTCATGTTGCGGTAGGTGATTGATTTTCCAGCCTGATGCTGCAAACACAACTTGGATGATAAAACCAATCCAACCCCAATGCATGTCCATAAATCTAAGCGAAGAGTTGACATGTCGGGATATCACTTGGCCGTTCATGTGTCTAGATTGCTGATAACATGCAGTAGCCCAATAATAACTAGGACTAACATCATACCCACCTAAGGACATGACATTAACTGTTACTGCATATCTCAGTAGAATGATAACATCTAATGACTCAATATTTTCCATCCAAACAATCAAAAGACGTACAAATGCGGCAAATGAAGTTAACATGAAGCTAAGTGAAGTCTAAAAAACACCGGGGTAGAAATCCAACAAACAAAAAAAAGTAGCCAAACCAGCTGGGGGTACAGTTACAGAAACAGTGGATATCTAAGCATAATTATAAAAACCCTATACCCCAACTTGTGAGGTTTAAAATCCTATAGTTCTTCCCGCCAAAAAAGCTGCACTCAAGTATCAATGGCCATTTCAAGTATCTAAACTGGAAGTACCTACCATATATAAGGCCTATGTAAGGGGATATGCCCAAATATGCCCCAACAATCCCCAACATATGGCTTTGTATGGTACAGTACCTCCAGTTTAGGTACCTGAAATGGCGGTGAAAGTATGGTAACTAAGGAGGTGAACTATAGCTATGGGTGTTTCTCCATGGGTTAACGATGCTTCTGACCAACTCAATGCTGCTATGTACATGGGGATGGGATAGAAGTATTCTTGATGGCTCGGTTGCTAAGCTACTATCACGTCATATTGCTACAATGTGGGGCCCACCGAGTTTTAACTTGGTCTAGAACCCCATGAATACTAGAGTTGTAAGTATCATAAACCGTAGTTAAAGAGATGTTATGTTCACAAACTTAGCTATTTAGGGGGCCCCACATTGCTACTGTTTCATGACGCACCATGTATTTTCCAGCGCCGCAGCATGACTCTTAGTATAATTCTCAGTTGCTAACCTATCACATGGTTTGGAAACTCTATGCGTAGCTCCAACTCGTTCCACATCTCAAAGGGAGTATGGATACCCCTGGCTCCTAAGCGCTCCAAACCGCAAGGTAGATAGATATAAACATTTTCCATGTAGGTACTGTTGTTGTATCTTACAGTGAAATCACCGTCTTTGAATGGTTCAGTTCCATTAAAATCTTTGGAATCAGCATTAAACAGCATTAAATAACAATTTCTCTTGGTTTTGGTCACTGACTATCCACTGTATAGTACTGATTCTCTCACCTCCGCGTTTCATAAAACCCTCGTGCCCCATGATACGAATAGCACCTTGCTCGGTGAACGCGAAGCATCGTGGCCCCAAACCTGCCAGGTAAAAACGTGACGCTTCACGGTGAAATTCGGGATTTAAGAAGGATATTTATATAGCAACCATATCAGAGGCATCTATTAGATTTGCGCAGCTTTGTGGCTTGTTTTCCAAAGGTTTAGCCATATATTTCATCCCTATATCCCAATATCCGGAGGTAAAATCTTCCACTTTTCTCCTGAACAAGTCTTGGATCCCAATTTGTTGTTTTTTCAAAATCCCTTAAACAAATCCAACCAAACCTGGTTGGTGGCTTCAACCCCTCTGAGAAGTCAGTTGGGATGATGACATTCCCAATATATGGAAACAAATGTTCCAACCCACCCATCAGATATTAGAGGCATGTTTCTAATAATAAGGACATTTTTGCTTGAGGATAGGTTGAAAGAGTTTTCCATGGATTTGAAGAATTTGGTAGGAAAACCATCTAACAACGGGGCGATCGTTAGGTGTTAACGGGGATATCCCCAGCCTGAACCAATCCCATGAAATCCCATCAGTTGGACCTTCCGAAGATGGGAAAGTACTGATGGCCTGACTCATAGCCTACTTATAAGGTCTTGCCATTTCGATTCGCTGCGAGTTTTTGTGGCTTGTAACGTTTGAACCCCAAACATCACTGGGATGTATAAAGGAACATGTGGTAAAACGCAAAAAAATTAACCTGAATCATTATAATATGCTGAAGCCAAACAAAACTCACCATCCCCAATGAATTACCATAAATGGATGGGTTACTAAACCATCCCAAGGAAATTTATTTTCTGGCTTTTCCACATTCCACCAGTGATCCTCACGACTTTGCCGTACCTCCCTTCTTGATGAGGTTATGGAAGGCGTTGTCGTTGACCCCAATAGTTCGATACCTTGCCGGTGTGTTGATCCACTGCTGGTTCCACTGGTGCTAAAGTGCATTGATCATGTGAGACTTTGCGGGCAACTCCACGTTGCCAACCATCTTTAAAAACACAAAATGTCGGGAAACAATCTGGGGATGGGTTAAAGCTTATTATTACCATATTTGGGAGAAACACATCCATTAAGCAACTATTTGGCAGGGTACCAGGGTTTTTGACTGGTAGCCATTGTCGTTAAATTTCGGGCGATCTCATCCACCATACCGGTTTCATCAAGCGTGGCTTGCTGGAAAATTCCCTATTCTCCATTTATCATGGATTTCCCAGCTAGCCATGTTTAATGACACCAGAAGGTATGCTGTTGGTGATATATCCCACTATATCCTTACTATATACCTATTAAATGCCATTAAATCCCATGAAAAAAAACTCCATTAGATCATCATTTCATCTATATCCAAACCCCATGAAACATCTCATCCAAGTCCCCGGTTTTCAAACTCCCATTTTTTCAAACGACGCTTTCAGTTCGCGGCTTCACCGACCCAAGCTACGTAAAGGGCGACATGAAGCGCCGGATGGGATGCTCCGACGACATCTTCTCGCGGATGGCTGTGACGAAGAGGTTGGCACCTGCGGCTCGAAGGCCTGAAAATCGGGAAATCCTTAGGGATTTAGCCAACAAATAGGGATTTCATGGCGATTTCATGGTGATTTAGTGGGATCTAATGGGAATCCACGGGATTTCAGGTTAACAAAATGGACTATGTGAATTCATGGGAACATACTAGGAGAATCAAAGGAACATCGCCTTATAAATGGAGGTTTACAGCTAGGAAAATCATCGAAGTAAATGGGTGTTTTTCCAGCTAGCAATGTTTGATTACCAAATAATAGGCCCAAAAAATATCTAAACGGGTGAAAATATGATGTTTCATGACTTAAATAACGAATATTGAGGAGTCAATCATAGCTTTCGTTTTGAGTTAGTCAACGTCAGGATTGAAGGATCAGCAAACCTTGGTGGAAAACACGATGTAAACCCAGGTGGACCCCGGTTTACGATAGCTAAGTTGGTGGAAATAACTCCAATAACTAAAAATGATTGCAGATATATCGAACTAATTTCAATGGGGTGAAACTCAGCCAACATTGCAAGTTTTGGGCACCAAGTGCCGGAACATCTGGTCGCGCCCTCATTGCTATCCTACTTCAACCTACATCAAGGTAAGACATAAACCTCCCAAGGAAAGAACCGAGCAATAACCATATTTTGTTTTCATTACCTTCATAATTCATAATGTTACCATTTATCCCTTTCTTTGAGCTCTTGGTGTGTCTCTTGTTCCTCTGAACCACTTGGCACTTCATCCCACCTGTAATTAACTTACCCCAAGATGTGGATTATTACCATCTGGTTATTTAACATAGCCATAGAAAATCACCATTTTTAATATGTAAACCCAGGTAAACCATCTATAAACGGGCCATTTTCCATGGCTATGTTAAATAACCAGAGGGTATTTACAAAAGCAAGGATGCAGGGCTGCCCTTCGGCAATCAAACGTGGCTGGAAAATCCTAGATCGGCGTATAAAACTGGGAACATCATCGAACTATGGAGCTGATTACCAGAGGGTAAATCCCATGAAATATCCCATTGAGAATCCATCATCATTATGCATCATCATTATGCATAGTTCACCATTATTCACGACTATTAATGATTATTTCCACATGAAAATCTACTAACCCACAAACAAAAACATCACATTCCTGGCCTTAACACCAATCAAGTCCTTATGAAATCTCATGATAACCCCTATTAAGCCCCTATTAAATCCCACTAACTCCATGACTCCATGGAAGAATAACCCACTTATAATCTTATAGATGATTTACCTATCAAGAATGGTGGGTTTTCCAGAAGTTATGTCAGTTTATAGGTAAATTATCCATAAATAATCACCAGATTTACCAATTTGATGGGGGAAACCCGCCATTCTTCATGGGCAAATCACCTTCAATATATCCCTGGGCAGCCGCACGTTGCAGGTGGATGTCATAGAGGTGATCGACCAGCGTCACCAGAACGAAGAGCGAGCTGCGGAAGCGGAACTTCGCCCGCTCCTTGGCAACGGTGGTCAGTGGTGGTTAGATGTGGGTAGTGGACTACAACTAATTAATGTAGATTAAATCATATGGACTACAACTAATTAATCTGGTTGATGGTAACATTGGTTCACATCAATAAACATCAGTTGCCATCAGTTGACATTAGTTAACATTAACTAACATTAAGTACCATTCATTATTCGCATTAATTACAATTCATCTGGTTGATAGTATACCTACCCCTCTGAAAAATATGATTTCGTCAATTGGAATTATGTCATTCCCAATATATGCAAAAATGAAAGCCATGTTCCAAACCACCAACCAGTAATGGATGTATATTATAAACACAGTATATTATATACAGTATATTAAATATGTATTCTACATGTATTGTACATTACATGTATGTTTTTGACTTTGCAATATAGAATCTATAGAAAATCTATGGGGCTATAATCTATGGATATAATCTATGGGACTAGGTGGACTAGTACATGGGACTATGATCTATAGAAAATCTATGGGTAAACAACTATGACTCTATGGATAACCTATGGATAACTATCTAACCTCGATCTATGGATAATGGATGTATAATGTTAGTGGTTAACATAGGTTAACTATGTAGTACATGGACTCCACATAACTTTATGGACAAGCTATGTTGAATCTATGTTAATCTATGGGCAAACGGTTGGATAATCGATGGTTGGATGTGGGTAGTCAACAGGCTACTAGTACCTGTGGATAACCTATGGAGAATCTATGGACAATAGGTTATCTAAGGATAAACTATGGGTAATCTATGGGTTGGTTAGGTAGTACATGGGCTATAACCTATGGATACCTTATAGAAAATCGATGCTAATCTACGGACAATCAACATTCGTTGGTAAACTTGATAAAGGATGGAGAATCTATGGGTAACCTTCAGAGAATCTATCGATACACGGTGGATAGTGTATGGATAGTCCATCACCCAGTTACAAGTGGGATTTTCATGGAAGAACCTCTTGTGGAGCAATTGGAAATCCATGAAAATCCACATTGCCCAGCCCAAACTCATCTCTGAAGTCTGGAGCCATTTGGCCATGGTGTCATGCCCAGTCGCTGAGCAAGCTTGAATCCTGACGACCCCGTCGGAGCCCGTTCTTGCGCCCTCCTGTGTTGTGCACGCTCCTCGTCATTGGTGCCCGTCTCGGACTCTGCTGCCTCATAGTTGTCGGCCATGTGCTCAGCCTCTGGAAGAGGTTCCAAGTCGGCACGGCGCTCTGCATTGTCGGCCGCGGCTGCCGCTCTGCTCCCTGGGAGTGTGTGACATACCGTAGCCTGGCAGGCATCGGAACTGACACACTCGGTGGTGGATCAGCAGCTGGCACTCAGGAAGTGCGCGCACTTCATGGAGGTTTATAGCTGAGCAACTCATCCACACGGCGATATCCATTGATACCCAGGCGCGGCCCGGTGAGCTGTGTTCATCCGCAAAGTGGTAATTGCTCATTCCCAAATTTTACAAGTTCTGGACATGTTAAAAATAGTGGAGTTGTTCCAAGAAGTCTGTTGGGGTATCCAAGAAGTCTGTTGGGGTAACCAAGTTGCGCATCAACTTTGCGCCTCCAATCATGGCCAATCTTAGATACCGTGCAAAAAGTTAAATTCTTAGCTATAGATATGCATATGTGGATATCTATCTATATATGCTGATATATAATTAAAAAACACGAGTTAAGGAAAACAGGTATGTATATATTTGTATAATAAATGTAAAATCATGTAAATTATATTTCTATATAAAAAACATTCATACTGTTTACATTGTACACAATCTGGATTGTTGGTGTTTTGTCCTTTCAGACCAGAATACGTAGCATTTTCCCAGCCAAATGGAGTGTTGACCAACATCTTGATGATGTTACCGGTGGTGACGGGGATTAGCGACTAAGAATCCGATGTTCTGTGCGGCATAACAACCAGTTCGCTTTGTGGTAAATGGACTGTGTAAAACCTACAGTCATTGGAATATAACGGATACAACCAACAAAAATAAAGGATTTAGCTCTCGCTGTGGGCGGCCCATCTGATAATATCGCGGATTTAGTTGACATCCCAAGTATCTTCGTCATGATCAGGACTGATTGGGCAGCACTAGGATGCATCAAACCCTGCTTTTTCGAGATTTCGTGACTTGGAATGGTTTAAAATGCTGCGAAATGGTTCAATTGAAATGTTGGTCTGATTCTGCTTACCTCAAAGCCGTCGAGGAAACTTTCAGGCATTTGCGTTCTGTGTCAGCACCACAAAGAAAGTCTGAACTGCCTCCAAGCTGGCACGGTGCCATGTCTGGGCCCTTCTTTCCTGTGTCTGTCTGTCTTTTGGCCTTCGTATTGCAGGCCCATGGACAGCAGCTCTTCCACCGCTTCCTCCACCTTTAGGGTCCCTGGGGCCGTCTTCCTCCAATAGACGCCCCTGGCGTCCCATTTCCTGTCACCCGTCCAAACTACTTCAACAAGCAGCTGGGAACATTTGGATAAACCATCATGAACCCAGGTTTGATGGTGGGTACTCCCTATAGCAAATCTGGATTGTAACCAGACCTGTGTCCATGTTCAACCTCAAACCGTGGGTTTAAATCTTTCGTTCCATGGATCCAGTTGAGGAACAACCGTTGAATCCAGTGTTTTTTTGCCATTTCCAAATGGTGTTTTCAAAACAAGGACCTGTTAGCAACCAACTACACAAAAATACAAAGTTTGTCGTGGTGAATATAAAATCCGCTCCGGGATGGTACTTCGATGGTGTTTCCTCCACTTCCAGGTTTAACGAACTTTTTTTTTATATGAGGGTTGCCTCAAATCAAATCCCCATGTCTGGCACAAGACAAAGGTACTAAAGTACATACAAGTATTCATCACCACTTGGTAAGTACCTTCCAGGGTCATTCAACATTGCGGGGGGATCCAGGAACTCAATGGGGTTGAACAATGGGCAAACCCAATTGAGAAAATTATCGAACTAAAGCTGGATGATTTTCCATCAAACCATTTTAATTGCAAAAAAACATCTATAAAGTATGATAAATTAATGATTTTCTCTGATATTCCATGTTTCATCCCTGGGAAAACATCACATTTCATCTTGATCCCCAATCAATAGGCGAGTTGCCCCACCATCCACGTGAGCTAAGGGAGTGCAGGACCCAGGCGTGTTGGAAGTGTCGGAAGTGGGTACTGACCATATAATAACCTACCTATTCATAATCATTCACGGAATATAGCCACTATACGGGTATCAAATGGGTTATATACACTATTCCAATATATAAGTATGAATAGCCACTAACCCACCATACCACTTTGGTATCCATATTTATTCATGGGTTATCGAATGTTTTAGCCACTTATTACTGTACGCAGGCACTGCTGAAAACCATGATCGATCATGATGAATATGGGCAGCGAAAATTTCGGAACTGGGAGTGTTGCTTTTTCAACGTGGGAAAGGATTATCATGGGTTATCAATTATCCAATTACTCACCACTAGTATTAAAACATGATGACTTATGACTATATTCTTGAAGATCATTGTTATCCATCAATGATCGAACTACTAAGTTACGAAGAAAAGTATAGATCCAACCATCACGGGATGAACTATTAAATATTGACTGGTACCAACCACTAGCAAGCATTATCCAACTACTACCAGAAGCAGAAGTATAAATCCATATTAACAATTAGCCACTAATAAACATCAATCAAGGTAACAGCATCTCTAAGAGGCCGTGTCGATGATGACATCACGCAGTGCCAGGGCGATGAGGGAAGTGTCCGAAACTGAAGTAATTTATACATTTTGAAATTTATGGAATAAATTTCTGATGCGAATCCCTTGGAAAGGTCACTTCTAAAGTGGAAAATCTAGTGTTTTACAAGCACGAAACAGGAGTTTTGTTCGTCGAGGGTTTCAATCACAAAGATGTTCAGGACATTGCCTTTGACGCTCTTGCGCCAGACTGCAGCATACAAGTACTTCCAATTCTTTTGTCCCACTGTCTGTCTAAAGTCTGTGTTCCGGCCAAAGAAGAACTCTTTTTTGTGGGCTTTCTGCCCAAGTGCTTCACAAACTCACCGCGGTTGTGGGCAACGTTTTGCCATTTGAGGCGTTTTTCTGGCACTTGTTGTTTGGAGGCCCCTGTCCAAGCTGTGTAACCATCAGCATAGCAAGCTGTTCTGGCTCGTAGCATGACATATGTGTGGAAGTCCAAGAGAACATGGAGCAGCATAGCATGACGCATGTGTGGAAGTACAAAAGAACGTGCAGCAGCGTAGCATGACGTATGTGCGGTGGAAGTGCAAGAGAACGTGCAGCATAGCATGACGTATGTGTGGAAGTGCAAGAGAACGTGCAGCGTAGCATGACGTATGTGTGGAAGTGCAAGAGAACGTACTATGTGGTTGCAGTCGCAAGGAACGTTAACATGCATCCCACCCCACCCCACCCCCCATTAGCCCCCATTAGCCCCCACACCCAAAATATCCACACGCGCACGGCCTCTTACTGGTGTTGACACCAAAAACATCATCAAACTATTTAGTCAACATCAATTAACATTGGTTAACATCAATAAACACCAGTTGCCATCAGTTGACATTAGTTAACATTAATTAACATTGAGTACCATTATTAGCATTGATTACCAGTAATTAACATCAGTTAACCAGTTCGTGGTTTCAACCCCTCTGAAAAATGAGAATCAGGAAAATCAGTTGGGATGATGACATTCCCAACTGAATGGAAAAACAAAAAATCATGTTCCAAACCACCAACCAGATCAACATCAGTTGACAATTAACTTCAATTAGTTAACATTATTTAACATCAATTACCATTAATTACCGTTAATTACCAGTACTTAACATTACTAACAGTTACGCTTCAACAACCATTCCTTTGCAGCTCCACCATGCTGTGCCACCCACGTGTGCCATGTGGCCTCCACAGCGTTCGAAGCCCTCCTTGACGGGAAGACCCGCCAGGGCATTGGTCTTGATCACCTGCGGCGGTCCGTTGGAAATCGTCGGCTTTTCATGGCTGGAAAAACTTGGTGAAGGTCTATTTGGGGGCTTCCAAAAAGATGGGGATACCCCAGGAGCTAGATGGTTTATATGGGAAAATCCGTTTTTTAAATGGATGCCTATTGAAATGGATGATTTGGGAATACCCTATTTTCGGAAATCCCCATTTAACCTCATATGAAATCCGTTTTAAAGTTCATATTATTTGAAAATCGATAGGTGTCATGTTCAAGTTCGATACTTAAGCCACCTGACAAAACCTATGTCTAATATTTCACTGACCTGAACATTGATAATAACCCATTATTAAAAACCTTAAACCCCCAATTACACCACATTACATCTCCTTTGTGATGCTTAAATCCCAACTTGAGCGGTTCCAAAGCCTCCCTGCCATTCCATTCTGGTGAAATTAGACCCCAGGAAAACCGTATACCCTCCGGTAATCAAACGTGCCAATAGGACACCCCCTATAAAAATGGAGGGTTTATAGCTCGGAACCCCCTACAAATGGAAGTTTATAGCTGGGAAAATCACCTATGAATGGGATATCTTCAGTTGCCATGTTTGGTTACCGGAGGTATTGTACCATATAGGACAACATTTCATGGGAATATTCAGCGTCGTAGCCTTCAGACAGACCCCATATATGGTAGGTGCCTCAAATTTGGGGTACCTGGCCAAGGATATAGGGTTGGTTGGTGGTTTTAACCATCTTGAAAAATACGAGTTCGTCAACGGGAAGGATTATCCCATATGTTATGGAAAATAAAAGCCATGTTTGAAACCACTAACCAGTAGGGTTGGTTTTCATGCTCAACTGCTTCGCCCGAGCTGCAAACAACTTCTGCCCATCGCGCATCTCCACGTCCACGCGATGCGCACCGAGACCGTGCAAACCTGGAACACAGGGCACTGGGCACTGGATGGGAACACCTGGAGTTGTACCAGCTATCGAACGAAAATACCAAAAACCATGAACTGGTTGGTGGTGTATCAACCCCAAAAAACATGAGTCATCTCAACCAATCATCCCATGGGTGAAAAAAAAAGAAAATTTCGAAGCCCGCAACTAGGGAAAATCGTGATTTCAACCAATGAACATGGAGACTTAACAAATCAAAATGGGATTTCACAGACGAAAAGTTGTTGTGTAGAACATGTAGGGATTTACCCGCCTCATGCGCCATGACAGCATGTCAACAGGGGGTCATCTTGCGCCTCTACAAAGATGAATTTTAAGGGGGTTATAACTTAAATTGCACGCCCTAAAAGATGCAACCCCAAGAATGGAATTTGGAACATCATTTCCCTATTGATAATGCGCGTTTTTGGCGGTGTAACTGCTCTTGTATACTGGGACCTACAACAAAACTGGGTAGACCTAGGAACTCGTAACCCATCATTGTAGTTGGACATCATATTTTGTCTATCCAGACTATTTCGGCCATTCAACGTCTCATTTGGCTTGATCGTGGCTGGAGCCGCTATAATTTCACCTGGTCAAGGCGCATCACCTAAGGACAGCCAAATGGAGATGACCATGAAATTTGCCAACCATTGGCAGCGACATAATATTGCCATATTGCTTCACTTTGCTGGTTTTTAAAAATTGTATTCCGTGAATGTCTCCACCACATCATTGCTATATCCCATTGTCCTGGAAATATGCGCCCATTATACCCCTTATACCCGAGCATAGCGTGTTGATCCTCGTAAATGCGGGCATGATCCATGGTGATCAATGGATGGCACATAAAACACATCGCAGTTATGAGGGATCAGTCGTTATCCAGGCAAGAGACCCCAAAACAGTTTGGGGGGTGGGAGGATCATGTATGATAATGTTGACGTTGTTGATGTTGATGATGATAGTGATGATGATGATGATGATGATGATGTTGATGTTGAGGAGGATGAGGATGAGGATGATAATGCGGAAGGTGAAGTGGAGGAGGACAAGGTGCAGGATGATGATGTTGAGAAGGAGGAAGATCATGATGTTGAGGATGATGATGTTGAGGAGGTTGGTGAAAAGGATGATAATGTTGCGGAAGATGAGGTGGAGGACGGAGGAGGATGATGTTGCGGAAGATGGCGTGGAGGATGATGAAGTTGGGAATGATGATGATGTGAAGGGGGAGGAAGAGGATAATGTTGGGAACGATGATGTTGAGGAGGAGGAAGGTGAGGATGTGGGGGATGTTGTTGTTGTTGTTGTTGTTGTTGTTGTCGTTGTCGTTGTTGTTGTTGTTGTTGTTGTTGTTGTTGTTGTTGTTGTTTTCGTTGTTGTTGATGTTGATGATGATGATGATGATTCTGATGATGATGATGGTGGTGGTGATGGTGATGATGATGATGACGGTGAGGATGATGATGAGGTTGAGGATGATCATGAACGGCCCAGAACCTAGGACCACACTTTGTGCGAGCCTGCGCAGTCGAAAGGCACTTCAACATGTCACAAGAGCCACTTGATACGGAAATTTACAAGTAAAATGCCGCAGACCAGAGTAAGCACCCCGATCAAACACCGGCCTTTACAGTTACCGTAAGAAACCCTCAGTGTGGACACCCTGTTTGGGGAAAGGGTCAACTTCAAAAGATCGTTCACCACATTCTAACCAGCTTGATTTACCACTCACTGATAGGGATCATTTCCACTTGCTCACTCGGGCTTTCTTTCCCTCCAACAGTCCCACTCTTGGAAACCTTGCAGTGCATCTTCATGTCGCTCTTTAAAGCATATGTAAATATAAATATATATCCGCGAAACTAGCCACATTTACAGGAAAAAAACATACACATATGAAATATCCAAGGCAAACCAGGAAACACCGACAAAACTTTGTTCCAAGGAACAAAAACGTACCAAAGCTTTGTCGCTAAGTTTGTCCGGCCAGTCCTGACGGCAAGACAAAGAATTGCATTGCGAAAGACCTTGTTGGGGATCATCCAGTCGCAAAGAACCCTTTTAAATGAGATAACGTGCAGAACGGTGACTTGTTGATCAAGGTTATAGACATTTACGATTCGTAGGATGATTGCTCAAGTGACTTGTCGGTCGGTTTAAAAAATAGCAGTTCATGGTCAATCTGATTGATGCCCTGCAAACAAGTTCTGGTTGGTTAGCAAATGAACCCCCCACTGAACAACAAATCCACCGTAGTTAGCACACCCGGTGATCATGCCCCTATCTCCGACCATTTCCAGAAAGCCGTAGACCCCACCGCCAAGATGGGCACGGGAGGAAGATGACGAGCTGCCTTCTGCTGCTGAAGAAGGCGCAACTCTTTGCCTTTTAGGCCCTTCACGCGGCGGCGGCGGCCGCGTCTTGCAAAGCTCCTGGTAGAGCCAATTGTAATAGGCTCGTGCCAATTTGTTTGTCTTCTTCCCACGCTCCATGCCCAGCTGTTCATAGACCCAATCATAGTTCAAATGGTCTGCATCCTCTGTAAAGTGCGCGAGCGCGAGCGCAAGGATGGCATCCCTGCGGTCATCATCTGGTGGCAGGATCTCCTCTGGATCTGCCATAGTATCACACAAGCAAGCTACACGAGCTGCTACTATTTGATGCGGTTGTAATGCTGGCTGTTACTCTTAGTAGGCACTGCTTCGGTTAGTAATCTTGGTCGGCTCAATGCTGGTACTTGTAGTGGTATTGGCCGTCAACAACCATCATAATGGTAGTAACAATAGCATACAACGACCTGTGTGCTGTGTGCTGGTACATTGCTTTGGTGCTTTACAAGCCAAATCAGGACAACTTGAACGGGAAGCCGTGCGTCGGCAAAGGTACACTTTATCGTTCCCGGGGTATGCAAGTCCATTCGTGGGAAATGTTCGTGACCGGTGTGGGCAATTGTGGCATGTGTGGGGTCATGCATGGACACGTCATGCCCAAATAAGCAATTTTCCTCGCAAATGCCGGAGAACGCTTCCAGGTAGAACGCCTGGACCAGAAATTGCGGTGCGCTCCTGAGCCTTTCCGGGAGAGTGCCAGACGGTGTCGATCCAAGGCGCAGACGACCATGTTTCTCTTCTGCCACCTGGGTGCGACAGCATGAAAAAACACATCAAGGTTCGTTTCAGTAAGCTTGAGTAAATGCGTTTGCCTTGCTAATGAGGTCATTGCTAGATATTCAATTCTGTTGTTTTTCTCCAAGCTCCGGACTTCGAGGCGTCGCGGCGGTAGTCGCTTTCTTCAGCGTTTTGAGCCCCGCTGCAGCAACCTACCCATAATTTGGGCATTGTTGCAGCAAGTTTTTGCATTCAGAAATGCCGACAATCGACATTTTCTAGCTGCATGTTTTATTGTTCACGCCTGCGAGCTGAAGCATCTCAAGAATCTTTTTCTGCAGGGTTGCTGTTAGTCTGTCAAGGTCGCCTCACTGCAGTCCTAAGATCCTTGCGAGCAGTGGGTGCGGGGCGGCTTGTTCCATGTGAAAGGCCTTCGTACCATCCGTTTCTTCCGCGTCACAGACCACTTTCGTGACCTTAGTTTGCATAGCGTGTCCACTTTGTAGCCTTGTGAAGCAGCATAATTAAGCTGAAGACCGTGAAACAAGAAAGTCAAAGAGAGACAGTCAAATATAGGGCTGGGCACCAAGGACCCGCGCTCCACCTGACGTGGCCCCCGGCGCTCATAGAAGTGCCATTCACACTCGTTGGAAGGGTCGGCGGCAGAGCACCTGTGCAATGTGCGTGGCCACATCAAAAGAAGTTTAGAAGAGAAACTTCCGAGTGTGGCTTGGCCATGTTCCACTAAGCTGAATTTTAACAAGTTTCCCTGGCGACCGGCTTTTGATCCAAGAAAACGGGCCTCCAGGACACTTGTTGCAAGCCAAGAAAAACAAGTCAAAAATCCGAAACTAAATGGAAAATTGTTACTGTAGCTATTGACTAGGTAAGAAACTGTGTGTTGCTGTGGTGGGTTCGGGGACCATGCTTTTCGATGTAGTCCAAGCCTGCACCGATGCCCTCATCACCTAGCCGAGTGTAGAAATTCACTGTGCCTCCTGCGTTGTTTCCACCTGCTGGTTGAAAGGAGTGCATTTGGACCTGAAACCCCCAATTTTTCCATCATGTAGTGGATTGCCTTTTGGTGTTTTGAGCATTGCCATGCAGACTTGACGAAGTCAGTCTTGACAAGAGAAGGGAAGATCGCATGCTTCAATAGGCAATGCAGTACGCTGTTATTCAAATTGCATATCTGGCAAGTTTTTCAAGCAAAAGGGCTCTGGTAAGTCATGAAACCTACCTTGTACGCAAGCGTTCGTGACTTCAATGCACTTTACCCCCAGGAAATCCACCTCCCCAATCACATCAAGCATGTGCTTCACCCTTGCATCTTCTGTCATAGACTCCAAAGGCAAGTCCGGTGGCTTCACCAGCCCAGGTGGCAACTCCACCACGTTGGATTTTTCGGATGCGGAGATACAACGCATTGCTCGCGCTGAGGGCATGTTCAAGAGATTTTTTCTGAGCTATCCATCATAGTTACCATACTATTTACTACTTCCTAGCTGAACCCTGTCCACCCTTGATTGCGACAGCTCTTCACCAAGGCGCTCATCTCCGAACAATGCGGAGGTTAAGTCCGAAGATCATATTCGCAACCATTCGGGGTTATTTGGAAGGCTTATCCCAAAAGCGAAGTCATCAAATCCTCTTCAAGGCTCCCAAAACAGTCTGGCAGGCGCCCCAAACAAAACAAAGTGGAATGTGAGGATATCTGCGCAGGCACCAAAAGAACATAGTGGAATCTCAGGAAACCTGCGCAGGCACCAAAAAAACACACAAAATCCCAAGAACTATGTCCACTTCTGAGTAGTTGTTGGAACCAACCCAGGTGAACCAGGGGAACCTCCTGCCTGGATGGCCATGACCTGGGGTTCCATTGCGGGGAAGGACGCCTGAAGGCTTGGTAAAGGCTGGCTTTCTGGAGACTGCAATGGCTGTGGAAGACGAGCAAGCAAGTTGCTACAACAGTGTGTGTCAAAAACTGCCTTCATATCTCTATTTTTATGCATCTATATATTATATATATATATATATCCAGAATCTTTAGATATCTTCAAATTTAACCTGTGTATTGACTGCAACGGGCTGACGTACTCGAGCTGTGGGACAGAAGCTTCATCACAGCTGTGGGGTTCTTGGCTTAGCCCCGTGGTTTTTGTTGGCTTTGGTGCTTCCTGTGCAGGTTTGGTGCACCTAGTGGTTTGGTTGCTTTGTTTTTCCTTCTGGTGCCTGTCGATGTTTTGTGAGGTCAAAATCAAGCCTGCGCACGCGCCAAAAAACAAAAAAACGAAGTGGCAGGTGAGGAAACCTGCACAGGAACCGGAGAAAAACACATAATTTCAAACGACTATGGATCTAATCCTAAATAGTTGTTTTCTTCTTTGATGCCTGCAGGTTGGTGCATCTAGTGGTTTGATTTTTTGGCCATGTGGATGTTTTGTATGTCTCATGACAAGATCACGATGAAAATTCGTGTTTTACTAGGGTTTCAGACCCGCTAAGTGCACAAAACACCGGTATGTACAGTGTGTTACGATCATTCTTAATGAATGTTTTCACTTCCCCATGGGAAGCCGATTTGAAAATCAACTCGTCCGGTCCCAGCAGCCATGAGGGGTCCTAAATCCAAAACTCCCATGTGGGATGGCTTCTGGCGTTGAATTTGCCTCGTGAAATATCATCAGATCAGATTCATTGATATCCCATTAACCCACCATTAAATCCTATATATCTATCTATCTATCGATCGATCTATCTATCTCTCTCTATCTATCTACCTATCTAACTATCTATCTATCTCTCTCTCTCTCTATCTCTATCTATCTATCTCTTTCTATCTCTATCTATCTCTATCTACCTCTATCTATCTCTATCTATCTCTATCTATCTCTATCTACCTCTATCTATCTCTATCTATCTCTATCTATCTCTATCTATCTCTATCTATCTCTATCTATCTCTATCTCTCTCTATCTATCTCTATCTATCTCTATCTATCTCTATCTATCTCTATCTATCTCTATCTATCTCTATCTATCTCTATCTATCTCTCGATCGATCTATCGATCAATCTATCTATCTATCTATCTCTATCTATCTCTATCTCCCTCTATCTATCTCTATCTATCTCTATCTATCTCTATCTATATCTATCTATCTAGCTATCTATCTATCTATCTATCTATTCTAATCTAATCTAATCTAGTCGAGTCTAATCTAATCTAATCTAACCTAATCTATCTTATCTATCTAATCTATCTATCTATCTATTCTATCTTATCTATCTAATCTATCTATTCTATCTTATCTATCTATCTCTCTCTATCTGTCTATCTATCTATCTATCTATCCATCCTATCTATCTATCTATCTATCTATCTTTCTTATCTATCTATCTTATTGATCTATTTTTTTAATCTATCTTATTTATCTATCGTATTTATCTATCTTATCTATCTATCTATCTACCTATCTTTCTATCTATCTCTATCTATCTATCTCTATCTATCTCTATCTATCTCTATCTACCTATCTACCTATCTACCTATCTACCTATCTACCTATCTACCTATCTATCTACCTATCTACCTATCTATCTATCTATCTACCTATCTATCTACCTATCTACCTATCTATCTACCTATCTACCTATCTATCTACCTATCTACCTATCTACCTATCTACCTATCTACCTATCTACCTACCCATCTATCTATCTATCTATCTATCTATCTATCTATCTATCTATCTATCGATATCCACGCATACATGTATATATATATAGTTTATGATTGGGTTGACCTCCTTGGTATCCCATTGATATCCCATTAGCATCGCATTAATTCCACCATTTACAAATGATTTTCCCTGCGATAAACCTCGATTTATTGGAGATTTTCCAGCTAGCCACGGCTGATTATGCCAGATATTCCCATTCATTCCCATTAAACCATGATTAAATCCCATTAAATTCCAATAAAATCATCAATGTATCACATTAGATCCTTATTAAATCCCATGAAACCTGATAAATCACCATTAAATCACCATTTCGCCACTTGTTTTTTTGATCCAAAAAGTAGCTCCAGATCCATCCCAGCGGCTCCACAAAACTGTGGTCCTGGTAGATCTGCGGGTAGATGGCGGACATCTGCTTCATCACCTGACTGCAGAGCAGTGGGAGATATTATATATTATTTATTAAATTGGATGTTGTTGGATTTATCAACCATTTAAATAAAATCCTATTTTTTTAAAAGTAATATATATATATATATTATATGGGATATTCGATTAATCTATTTTAATTGATCTACAGGCAAGGAACATGATCTACATTTCTAAAATGCTTGTCCCCATGGAAAAAACCATGGAAATGAACCCCCTACTTGGATGTGCATCCCAGTTATCAAGTGGTGTGTAACACTCAATATCCCATTATACAAACCAATCTAAAATCATCTATTTATTACTTACTGGTGCTTAGCAGGGAATTTTCGGGAATGATCCATAATCACTAGTAATAATCATCCCAGCAATCCCCAGCAACCCATCCATTCCGTATGTTTAGCACCAGTAAGATTAAATTTGATATTTTTGGCTTTGTTATATCTCCCATAATAGATTTAAATTAGATTTATACATGTAAATCCAGTTATTCAATTGGATGTTATTGGATTTATTAACCATTGATTAATTTTCATTTTTTTTGGATGTTATTGTATAGATATATAAATATATAATATAAATATATATATATATATGGGATATTAAATTAATCTATTAGATGGAAAAACATTAATTTAATAAATTTCATGATCAATCTATTAATATACGTAATTTTGACATTTAAACGAAGACACATAAAGCTGTATATTGATATCTTTGTACGTATACATTAATATTGAATGTATATAAATAGATATATACATACATATCGCTATTCGCACAATTGGTTGCAGGACAAACTTAAAGAAACCACATTTTTTCTGCTGGGAAACCTCTTGTCTCGTCGTTGGTTTTCATTGAAACCAACTCAATGAACCTATATCTACATGTGCAAATATAAATATATATATATATAAGGAATAAAATGGGGGTGTGTACAAATAATTGCCAGCTAATTGGGGTTAATACTAGTTATATATGGTGTAAATCAATAAATTAATATATATATATATATGGAGGAATAGAATGGGAATCTAAAAATAAAACTAAATATAAATATATAAATAAATGTAACTGCCAACAAGTTGGGGCTAATACTAGCTGTATGTGATCTAAAAAAAATTATGTTCTACACGAAGATTATATGTTCTAATAGAAACTATGTCCTCCATTTGGGGATGATTTTTCTATTAACCATCGCAGATTTAGCCGGAGATAGATAGATAGATAGACAGATAGATATAGGTAAATTAGATAAAATAATACAATATAATACAATAAAAGAGAGTATAATAGAATATATATAATATAAAGTAAAATAATATAATAAAATATAATATAAAATAATAGATGATAATATAATATAATATAAAATAATATAGTATAATATAATATAATATAGAATAATATAATATAGAATAATAGAATATAATATAATATAAATTAATATAGCATAATTTAATAAAATAATAGAATATAATATATATATATATACTTGCATACTTTGCTCCAATAGTGAAAAATCCATGACGGGAGTCAATCTCCTTGATATTGGGATATTCTATGGGATATATAGGAACGCCATTGCTTACATGGAATTTAATGGAAATGTGTCTTGGGATTAAAAAAGCAACCAAGAGTACGGGGATCTGTTGTGAGAAACCTCATTGACATACAACAGGATGCAACCATATCTGGTTGATGGTTTCAATTCCTCTGAAAAGTATGAAAGTCAGTTGGGATGATTCTTCCCAACATATGGAAAAATAAAATTGTTCCAAACCACCAAGCAGATAGCATATAGAATTGAGCTGGGATGTAACTATCAACAGCAATCGATGGGGATGGTTCACTAAATCCTACAGAGTGGTTCGCGAATTGGATGAGTAGCTACCTGATAGTAATTCTCCCCACGGAACCTCTGTTAATTTAACATAGCCATCGGAATGCTATCAACAGATTCTCATGTTTACAGATTTCTGATTTAAAACGATTTACATTAGTTCACCTTAATGAAAATGGCGATTGTCCAGAGCTACGTCAAATAACCAGAAGGAACATCATGGAATTCATGGCAAACCCCAAAAAGTCGGAAGCCATCCAGCCAAGGTAAAAACCCAGCGGCAAACCGACCATTGGCAAACCGAGCAAAATGTTAGGAAACGAAGCCTACCATCTGCTTATTTAACATAGCCATGGAAAATCGCTTATAAATGGAGGTTTATAGCCGGGAAAATCATCTATTTCTATGGGCCATCTATACCATGGCTTTGTTAAATGACCAAAGGGTAATTAATTTACCATGTGTTCATGGGTAGTTAATATTCAGACCTGAAACAGATGAAGTTATTTCGGGGTATACCAAATCAGGGGCCCATTGGTAGATGGCTGATAGTGCCACTGTCACACAGTGATAGTGCCTTCGTTTTGGGATCATCATCCCATTGTGAAGAAACCGAACAAGTTTGAAATGGTGAAAACCAGAGGTCATGGGGACATGCCAAAATACAATGACGAAACCAAACCTTCTTTTGTCCATGTGGAAGTTTCGATCAACCTCCAACCTCTTTAAAGCGAAGGGGCTTTATGGGATCTGGCAGTGCCAAGCCATTGCCAGTTGGAGCGGTCGACAGAATCTACGCACAATAACTTGTTGATGAACATCCCCCCAGTTTCTTCGCCTCTCAAATTAGACAGTAACTTGTTGGGGATGTGACAAATCACACACACACACCAAATCTGCTTATATTTCCAGACGGTTATGGTCTGTCCCTGCACTATTCACGCACTATGCAATTTGTTGGACGACCGACCGCGGCGTTCTCTTGGAACTGCCTCACCTGCAGGCCCGGATGCTGCTGAAGAGGTTCTTGGTGTTCTAGAGCGACACTGGGCTTGTCGTGGGAGCAGGGGCCTCCTCAGCGATCTCTGAATCTGGAGCGGACCTTGGAGTGCTCAAATGAATTTCTGAATCGTCTTGTTGGCGCCAAGGCGGAATTCTGGTCCCTCTCAGAGACAGAAAAGGTACTGAGGAGGCGGCAGGGCTCCCAGGCTCAGGCTGTGCTCTAGAGACTTGAGTTATGCGAATATTAACACGTTGCCGCTTAGGGGGTGGTACTTGGAGGTTGTAATACATGAAGACTGACCCGTGCGGCGCAATCAAGCGGAAACTACCCTTAACTACCCTTTGATTCTTGGTGTTAAAGAAGCTCCTTAGCTAGGAGCAAAATTCACCATCCTCCTCTCCTCAGTCGCCCCTCGGCAAGATACAAAGTCCACCGGACTTTCGTCCGGTGCGAAGTTTTCCAGATGATGTCCCTCCGGCAACACTGACAAATTCTTCTCGATGAACAGCGGTGTCTGGAGACAGGCTCTGGGAGGGTGTAGTTGGGGTTATTGTTGGGTATCACTTGTTGGGGTTTTAAGCTCCATAAGTTGGGATATTAGAACCCCTACAACTACGGTTATATATATATATATATGCAATGATGAGTGGAACTGCACTTTTAAGCTGGGTTCATGATGTTTGATTTTACATGGCCAATCTTAGACAGCCTGATGTTTGTTTCTGCTTGTTTGAAGAATTTGAAGTGTAATCCATGAAGTCCCATGGATCATCACGACGTTCACCTGACATGGATATCCCCATGGCCCATACAACAGTTTGCTATGGATCATTACCATTAGAGGAAATCATCTTCAATCGCTATGTTAAAGTCCTAGATGGTACATATACAGGTTATCATCGCAAGACATCGGTTCCCACTCAGTTTTGCACAGTTTAGTCCCCAGGCTGCGCCAAGATTTAAAATTTTGGACCCAGTGACCGAACTACTAATAAGCCTTATGACGATTTATCATGGTCAAAACCCACTTGTAATTGCATAGAGTATACCGAGTTGTATGTAGGTTATTATCCAGCTACATCTAAGCAGTTAAAGTCAGAACCGTTCAGCCACGCCCAGAGCGCAACAATGATCTCCTTACAAAAGTCAGCAACTTCTGGAAGTCGCTTGGCCGTGACAAGCTCCCCCGACAAATGGCAACACAGGCTCCGATTGCACCATCCTGTGGGCCTTTTCTGCTTCGGCTGTCTTTTCTGCTTCGGCGGCCCGCTCTCGGTTTTTCGATCAACAACTTCTTGGATAGGTTGACTTTGGCCACGCTTTGACCATCAAAGGCAACGTCACTTTAGCATCCAGCCACTGCTGTCAGCACATCCCTGGTGAGTCTGCCATGTCCGCCGACTCCATGGGGACTTGTACCATGGGTCATGGATGGTGCTGGTGTAGACATGGGTATGTCATGGGTACCCCAAAAAAGCTCTATCTTCCTTCAAACAACATGAAAACAACCATAAACAATCCAAATTTTATTGGTGCATCCCCTAAAACTATCCAGACAAATCCGTGTGGTTTATCTCTTCGAAACCAGCACAACCAGCACAGCAGCCACATCCGCCGCGGATCCACCAGGGACCCACCGCTCCTCGGCGATGCCGAATTCATCCGAATTGGCAAAGGGCACTTGGAGGAAGAGCGCAAAGTCCAGGAAACCCTGCAACGAATTCGACCGGGAGACTCATGGGATTTCTGCAACATGATGCCCCATGACTAAGGTAGTTTATAAGTTGGTGAAATCTATGGTAGAATATTTCTATACGGGTTAAAAAAAAGTTATTAGTCGGGGGTACAAATTGTATATATATATATATACATATGCTGTATTCATCTTCACCGCTCCCTCCAGAACCCCTATGTTGAGATTAGGGTGCTAACCATATATATTGTTACATTGGAAACAATGGTGAATCACCCTTCCAAAACACTGTCAATACCATTAAAACAACCTCAATACTGAAGCCAGAAATCGGCTCCGCTTGGAGAGGCCCCCATCAAACCACATTTGAAATCCGAAAAAGTCTCAATCAATCAGCACCATCAAAACCTACTAAAACACCATTAAAAAACCATTCAAACCCATCAACTCCTCATTCAATCCCATCGAACCGCAACCCCTAAAAAAAAACCAATGAAATCCTTGTTCAATCCTATGAAAACCCCTACGGAAACACTAAACAACCACCATAAAATCCCACTAAGAGCACCGTTTTCCCCGGCTAAACCCGGGGGGTAAACCCAGCATGGGCCTTGGGCAACTCGCCACGTGGTTTTAAGCTATCGACCGGCATGGACTCGGGGCCTATGAAAATACCCCGCTGGAGATCATGGGATCGAGAGGTACCCAAATCATCCATATCCCACTTAGTATATGGGTTATAACCCCAGTGATTTACATGGGATAAGTAGGGTTCATCCATTCAAAAAACTGGGGTGAACTAACCCACTTACTAAGTGGGATGAGCCACCAAGATATAATCATCCACTACCCTCTGGTAAATTAACATAGACCCTGCCAGATAGGATTTGGAAGATTAGTTTCCACTAAAAATGGGTGCTTTTCAGGGTCTATGTTAATTTACCAGAGGGTATCAATCAAAGATGATCATCCATTATCAATCAAAGATGATCACCATTGATGGATAACTACTATTCATTGATGGTACCTGATCATTAGTATTATGGGATAATGAATGAATAATCATTGATATCAAATTATCTATTGGATAATCAAAGATGAGTATCAAATTATTTAAATTATGGGTTTATCGAGCGGTACTCCATCAATCACTATGGGTTTATCGATATCAAAGATGATGATTTACCGATATCAAATTAATTATTGGGTAATCAAAGATGATCAATGGGGGTATCAATTGATGGTGGAGTATCTTCAATTGTTGGATTATCGTTGATCGTTATTCATTGATGGTAACTGATCATTCGTATTATGGGAAAATAAATTAATAATCATTAAATATTATCATTAGTATCATCATTGATATAATCATCCATTATCATCAATAATTATCGCTACTATTCATTGATTGGAGTATCAAAGATGATCAATGGTATTGAGTAGACCAATGATCAATCATAGATGGAGTATCTTCAGCAATAGTTTATGCATGATTTGTAAATGGAAAATATGGGATAGCCTTAAATCATCAATAAACCATCCAATATTCATGGAAAATTCTACAAAAATTGATGATCTGGGGTACCCTATTCAAAATTAACCAAAGAAGTAGTGGGATACCATGATCCAATAAATCATTCATAAACCACTCAATAAGCATACTCAAATTTCTTTGGCTTCTTCGATCAATATTCATGGAAAATCAAAAATGATGATTCATTGATGGTTTGAGGCTATCCCCATGGCTTAACCTCCGATGATTTTCCAGTATTCAAATGGTCATTTTGAATTTTCTGGATTATATGGTGATTCTATAGTATTGGATTATATAAACCTCCCATTTTATAGTATACCCTCTGGTTATTTAACATAGCCATGGAAAATCACCATTTTTAATAGGTAAACCATCTATACATGGACCATTTTCAATAGCTATGTTAATTACCAGAGGGTAATCCCATTTTAAATCCCATAAAATCCCCATATTCTGTTGATTTTATGGTTGTGTCTATGGTGATTTTATGCTAATTGAACGGTTGATTTCACGGGAGCAAACCAATGTGTAGGGCTAACCGCCCCTGACTCGATCGACACCAGCTATGGCTCGATATGAGATAATATTGATGTATGCATGCTGCATATATACATGTATATGTGATTTAAAAATACATATGTATCTATAATATAAATAAATAATTAAATATAAATAAATAAATATATATATATGCACAAAGCGATGTATAATGTTTACACACACACATATATAATTTCGCATTTCAAAAAAATGAAATTGACACATATTCATATATGTCGTACTTTTCGTATGTGTGAATCAAACTATGTTACCGGAAAAAAATCTAAAGCGGAAGTCAACAACACAACCAGTTCATAATCATGACCCTTCCGAAGTTTGATCGAACCTGGATGCGTTACCAATGAAATATTCCAGGATTCATTAGTGTTTTTTGCATATTGGTGGTTTAATTGGGTACGGATTTTGGGTAGATTTCAAACTACTATCCATTGTCAAGGGACTGCATCCAAGCGCCACGTGCTAATTCAATACCAGCAGGTGTCGATTGGTGTACACTAGCTGCTTCTCAAGCAGTCAGACATGGTTGTTTATCTTGATGATGTTGGGGAACTCTCAACAAAACTAGGCAGAGATACAAAATCAAGGGATATCAACAATGATTTAACCATTGAAAAAAAAAGACCCGAAAACAGTGTACGGCTGACAACCAAGAGAAAGTGCAGCGACGACAGAAATGGCCGACGCAAGCAGCGGACTTTGGCTCAAGTGATCCCTGGAAAAGATGCTCGCTTGCGTCGGCAGCCATTTGTGTTGTTGATGCACTTTCTCTTGTGCTTCCCCAAACATCCGTTATTATATACATTTATACATAAATATAATGACTAAACTTTATATAAACTAAATAAATGTATATTTTAAATTATACGTCTTATAATCCTGTATTAACTATGCTTTTGATAAATAAAAACCAATTCATCAGTACTATATTTATTATATATCATACATATTGACTTTATCAATGCTAACCCACCCAAACACATGAGTTGGTTCAGTGACTTCCAGATCCGTCGATCTGTCGCCTGCCACGGTGGGTCTTTCTGGATTCAGCATATGTGCCAGGTACAGCAGCTTCTCGTACAAGTCCGTCGGCCACCTGAACTGGTTGATATCACGAGTTGGTGACTATTGGTATTCACAACTAGTAGGAATAATGGGGTAAAAGCAATTCTAACAACTAGTGATACTATTACATACTATTACATACTACTACATACTATTACATACTATTACATACTATTACATACTGTTACAAACTATTACAATACAATTATACAATGCATGGGTATACTATTGGTATAACAACTATTAGTTGGTATGAAACACTGCAAATAATGGGATTATAACGGCTCCTTCCATGCACAGTACCACTAGGGGGTTGATAAAGAAGGGTTGGAACAACTTTGTGGTGGTTGAAAAAGAGGATATAACTCGTTTTTCATCAATCATTGCAAATGATATAACTATTGGTGTGCATGCTGGTTTGACCAGAAAAGATTCAATTTAAACAAAAATTGGGATTTATGTGTGCTTCGTCCCAAACAGAGTTGTTTTGTTTTTGCCGTGCAATGCTCCGTGGTGCTAACTCTGCCGGGCCACGGGATGCCCATCAGCTGCGGTTTTTGTCAGAGATGGTTTTCCGCTTGGCGCCGCTTGTCGCTGGTTGGCCTGGCTTGTAAATATACTGTATACTTGTTTCATACCCCATGGGGTCCATGTATGCTATATATGGTAACATTTACCATCAATATACCCCCAATATTAGCATATATACCATACGTGGATCCTATGGGTACTAATTGATGATGTCATATACGTATCATCATTTATAGCAAAAGATAAGCTAGTCCTAGTTGGTTTCCCTTGTTTATGTTGATCACATAATACTGTGATTTCCCTAGCATTGCTTCACCTCCGAAATATTTCATGGTGAGATGTGCTGATGGAAATGGCATCATATTCCCTACATGGGGCTCAGGTTCCCTACATCCAACACGTCTTGGTACTGGTAAGCCAAGCTTTGAAACAAGAATTTGGTCAATGGATCAAAGATTTCTTTTCTTTGTAGGTCAGATTTTCCATGATTTCCCTTCTAGATTTGGTTTCCAAATAAAGGATGATAAGGGAACATCTTTCATGGATATTTTGCAGAGTCACCTCTTCGAATGACACTGGCGCATGTCGGCCACAGGGGGTCCCTGAAAAAAAAAGCTCGGGCACCCCAGTCCCCATGAACTATATACAATGTGGCCCCCCAATTATAAGTTGGTTTATAAACCCAATTCACTATACTTATAGGTATCATAAACTATAGTTAGACTTATAAACCAACTTAGCTATCTCGGGGCCCCGCATTGTATCTACCATAAAGGTGGTTATTGAAGTTATAATCCAACTTAGCTATCGACGAGGCCCCGCCTTGCAGTGTTAATACTCTGTCTTTTATTGGGCCCCGCAAATATGCGTTACTGATTGTAACCCCTACTGTGCCTGCAAATAGGGATGGGTCAACAACTATTACACCACTATTTTGGGGTTGAACATCGATTTACTAGATGATAATTTTCCCATTGAAATCTCCGTTTAGTTCGGGGATATCCCATCAAAACCCGCTCAGTGGACCTGTTTTGAACAGATGATCTTGATCACAAACGACCCGAGTCCCATCTCGCCCTCTACAGGTCACTCTTGTTCTCATGGGGTGGACTCCTCTGCCCTGTATCCTCCTTGGTGAAGGGACCCAGGGAGGCTCTGGGGTCGTATCTTCGTGGCTTCTCACGGCCGTCCGTGGCGTTTCCCTTTTGTCTTTACGCCGGCGATGCAGCAGTGCGTCTTTGTTTCCCGTCTTCTTTCTGCGCGGGCCGTTCTTGGGGATATCATTTCATAGGCTGCCAGATGCCTTAAACCTGGCACACATGTCGTCGCGTCGACCGTGGCCTGCAAATGGATTGCATTTGAATCTTTGTTGGCAAAAGGCACAGGAATTTGAATTTGACATCCGAGTCCATGAATGTTAACGAATCTAAAGATGGGTGTCCCATATCTTCCCATCAAATCGTCCATTTATAACGAATTTTACAGATGATTTTCCGATTGAAACCTCCAATTTTACGTGATTTTCCAATATTTATCATCCATGAAAACCACATGGTATCACATTTCTATCTGGAGATTTGCTATGTCGGATGTCATCCGTCCCTGGGCCGCGCCTGTAAGGCTTGAAGCTCCAGGACCAGGTGTATAACCGGGCGCAGCAGAGTGGGAAGCCGCAGCAAAGCGCCAAGAAAACCAGGAGAACAGCGAAGAGGACGACGGTCAAACCGAAGAGGTAAGAGGCCCTCGGCAACGCCATGATGCTTGGAGGAAAGTATGATCAAGTATATATATCAGACATGTAGAAAAATCTATGATAAAACTACAGATGATGGTTGGATGTAAGTTTTTAAAGAGGTAGTAAGTAGGCCACCAGAAAAGCAATAGTGGTTGCCCTATTTGGATAGTTGGATGTTTTGTGTCTGATGTTCTATAGACATGTTTTTTGGACGGTAGTAGGTCCTCAGAAAAAGTTGAGGTTGGATGGTAAGTAGATAAATCACAAATGTGTAAATACATATGTATATATAGGTATAAATGTGAATATAATATGTATATATATATATATTTGCATGTATATATATAGATATATATATTCACATATTATATGTATCTGTATATGCATGTAAACGCAAATTGTTTTGAAGAGGTAGTCAGCAGGCCCTGCGGAAGAATGTTTTCTTTGGAGCTATGGGGATTACACGATATTTAGAACGGCAGTTTCAGAGACCATTACACCCATATAACCATATATAACCCACGTATCCCACACATAAGCCAGATAGAAGGTATATAACCATGGTGAATTGCTTGGGTTTCTCTCAAAATCTACTGGACCAAGCCATTCGTTTGGAGTTTTCTTTGGAGATTTGGGCCCTCCGAAACAAGCATGGTTGGGGCATGGATATTCCGCATAATTCATGTGGTATAAATCTAACCATCCCCAAAATCACCGTGAATGGATGGTATAAACCGTTCCCCGCATGGTATGTTTATTCTTGGGATGATTACCGTATACAGTAAGTGTGGATGGACAAAAATCCTGCACAAGTTGGTACCTATTGGTAACTATGAAACATGGTAAATAAAGGAATATAAAGGAATGTTTACCATCTACCAACTGGAGCAGGATTTCGCAATCATCAACAATGTGTGTGAAAAGGCTGAACCACTGCGGAAACTGAAAATCCCAAGGGACTTTCAAACCTGGAATCGTAAGCGGACGAGCTGAGCACATTCGTGGCAACAACGATCAGCCGAGAATTGGGATGCGGTTCGCGAATCCAATCTGCATCGGCAAGATCCACTTGCAATACCATTGATCACCTCGACCCGAACGGCATTCCCCATGCCACATTTTTCGGCACCGTCAAGGAGTGTTCGTAGCCAGTCACGAACACGACACCGGCCTCCCCTGCTGCAATGGCGGAGGGATCTCGGCCATGGACTAAGTGGGACCACATCATTATTGATAATAATTCGTAATGGTAGACGCATGAACAATTGCCATCAGGTTCCGAATCCCAATTCATTCGCCTCCATCAGTGGTTTCCCAGAATGGGAGCCTCCACCTAACTCCGAAATGTTCGACAACAAGGATGGGTTTCGTGTCCAATTTAAGAGATCCGCATCTCTATTTTCCAAATTGCCCCATATTGATCCAGATTGCTGGTTATATCCCATATCATCATCATCATCGTCATCATCATCATCATAATGATCATCATCATCATCACCATCATCATCATCATCTCACCATTGTATTACCATTCTATCACCATTTTCCCCGTGCTTTTCTTCGGCATTTTTCCCATCGCCGGCCAGGTGTCGCGATGGCCGGAATCGGAATGAAGAGAATCCATGGACAGCAAAAGAGTGTGCCTCAGCAGTGGTCTGCGTCTGTTTGGCTTCACAAATCGAAAGACCCATTCATGGTGGTTTAAGAATAAGAATAAGGATCCATAAGGGTTTATATTGTGTTGGTTGGTGGTTTTAACCATCTTGAAAAATATGAAAGTCAATGGATGGTGGATTTATCCCAATATATTATGGAAAATAAAACATGTTTGAAACCACCAATCAGTCATGTTATATTCTTGAAAACCACCATTCAATGTGGGGCATTGTACTCACCTTTTTCTGGTTGAACGACTTTTGAATCATCAATTGATGGTTTCAGAAACTGCAGTGATAAGGGTTTTTGCGGTTGAAAAACAACTTTTTCAATGCTGGTTTATGTGGGGCTTTTGAATGAGTGGAAGTTTCGAAAAAAAACAAACCACTGCTTCAGCCCTGGAGGGCCCTGATACTCTTTTGTTAATTGCATTCCTATGGGTACTCTTGGCGCGTTTTTTGGGCTTGGATCTGCAGGAAAAATCCGAAATCTTGGCCATCAGCCCTGTGCGGTAGACAGTTGATAAGCTTGTGTGTGAACATGTAGAAAACCACGAGGTCCATGGCGTAACTTTGATAAGCAACATGATACCCGTTGGTAAACAGGATCTAGTGGGATGGTGGGATATCCATTGGTTTCAAGGGATATTTCATTTGCTTGATAAATGGGATCTAGTGGGTGGTATCAAAATAAATTATAAACCATGAAATTGGAGTCTATCCCCACACCCATTTTTCGCAATGGTGTTAGTTACATCACCCACTAGATCCCATTTATTAGCCACAAGTAACCCTCTCAGTTGATCATCCCTCCAAAAAATGGTTTTTGTACTAAAACTCATGATTAACACTTCCCATTTCTATCATTTTATCACCATATATATATATATATCATTTATATCCCTTTCTGGCTCCGTTTCGCCCTTTCGCCCCGTTTGGACCACGTCGCTATGATCGTCCAAGGGCTGGACCACCGGCCATCCGTTGGTCGCCGCGCCCGCGGCGCCCTCCTCGGCCTGCAACAGCTTCTGGCTCTCCCGCGCCATGATGACACGTGGAGAGTGTCCGAAGATGAGATTTTTCTCTGGGGATGCTGGAAAGCCAACTTGTTGAATTTTTTGATTGATGTGATTGGAAAGTGACATTTGTTCTTTGAATTGAAATTTCGATGGCTTTGAAGTGGGTGGTTTTTGTTGACATCAACGAAGTCTTGTTATTTTTTGGGAGGCGGAAATCATTGTGTACCATATTCGTGGTTGAAATTTTCGAGCCAAACAGCTGCAGCGTGGCACATTTGCAACCACCTCTACCAACAGGGGACCAAAGCAAATGCAAAACATGTAAGAATATATGTTTCAATGTAGAATGTGGTGCAGACTATATTCTAAACTAATAAACATTAATAATTAATATTGGAAAACATCTACTGATATATATATATAGTAAAATAATATAAACTTGTATCTATATCATGTGTCAATCAAATAGAGATCAGACGCAAGGTTTCCCAAGAGTATGTTTGCTGTTCCTCCATGACATGAAGTAGTGATTGGTTTGGATCCTGCTGCACCTGACTGTACAAAAAATAACTCAGTGACAGCAATGATGGACATACATTCCTAACACTGCATCCTGTTACTGACCAAGATTACAGCCCGAAGATGGTTGGTTTCCAACTCCATTTCTTTTCGTTCCATATGGGCATGGATCAAAATTAGCTAACTGTTTATCCAACATTCACTGGGAGATGTCCATTCATCCTTCTGTGATCTCTATCTAACGTACATATCTTAATGCGGCGGTGTCAAAAACTCATTGGATAAACCTTGATAATTTAAAGAAGTTGGTTGGTGAAGGTTCCCATAATGAAGTATTATCAACTTCAATATATTGAGTAGTATTACCACCTTTTTTATCATCGGCCAACCAGATTGTTTGGACTACATCCCAATGTTTGATGGTCAAAACCAAAATTCATCTGGGTGGTGGTTTTAACCATCTCGAAAAATATGAAAGTCAATGGTTGGTGGATTATCCCAATATATATTATGGAAAATGACCCAAATGTTCCAAACCATTTCAAACCACCAACCAGAAAATTTATGCTACTTAAGACTTGATTTGGATGGTTGAAAACCAACGATTGGGAAATATTTGGGATTCTAAATTTCGACGAATCCTTTCCCAAGCATCTGGCAAAAACTTGAGTGAAGCAAAGTGCTGCAAAGAATCCCAAGATTCGGATCCGAATGGGTCATTTTTCATCGGATGTGTTTGAAAAACTGCTCACTCGACTCTCGAACCAGGGTGAAACCCAATCATTCACCAGGCCAGAGACAGCTGAAACTTCCGGTGGTTATATCCAATGTTCAAGCCAACGAAACCAACCAAACCAACTCAGAGAATGGGGCAACTCCAGAAGAAAAAAAAGGCTTACTCATGGTTTAAGCACCAAAAACTGATGAGAAGGTTAAGCATCGTGGTTAGTGAGTGGTCTGATTACGCCCCGGCAATTTACCAGATGGAAAATTAGATGGAAATTATAATTTTGATAGGCAATCTGATGAGGGTATGGGTTAAAGATGGTTAAAGTCTTCTTTTTTGTCCACTATTCATGTTTTTAAGCATCTCACTTAAAAGTCATATAGTTTTTGTTGTTTTTAATGATCAATCTACCCTCTGGTTATTTAACATAGCCATGGTATAGATGGCCCATAGAAATAGATGGTTTACTCAATGGTTTACCTATTAAAAATTGTTGATCTTTCCATGGCAAACTGTTAGTCATAACCAGATGGCAACTAAAATCCCTTATAAATGGAGGTTTATAGCTTGGAAAATCATCTATTTCTATGGGCCATCTATACCATGGCTATGTTAAATAACCAGAGGGTAACGGGGATTTATTAGGGATATAATGGCCTATACCCTGGTATACAGATGGTTTACCTATTAATATTGGTCATTTTCCATGGCGAACTGTTAGTCATAACCAGAGGGTAACTTTTTTTGACGAAAAAACACCACAATACCAAGCAGTGCACCACTTCTCCCGAAGACATCACACTCACCTCTTCAACATCGGGCTTTCCATAGACCTCGGACCAGCGACCAGCGACCAGCAACCAGCAGATTTTCGTGGATGTTTCTGCAAGAGAAATGGCGGAATCCCTAGGTTTTTTTGACTGTTCATGATGTTTACATGTATATTATTGTATTATTGTAAAAATATATATATATATATATACATATATATATATACTGGTTGGTGGTATACCTACCCCTCTGAAAAATATGAAAGTCAGTTGGGGTTACTATTCCCAAAATATGGAAAATAAAAGCCATGTTCCCGACCACCAACCAGTATATATTATACATAACTTATATAACCCAAGATAACCCAAGTACTTCGATTCAGTCGGGAAAATACGAGAATACTACAAATGAATCGGGGGTGATTTATAGCAAACGGATTTGCCCAACCATCTGGATACATCTGATGTATGGCCACGGAATTTCTAGTTCTTCAGCTTTTAACAAATTGGGTTCTCCAAAGTCGCAACCAATTACACATTCATCAGCCAGTGGTGGTTGAAGCCCAAACATCGAAATTGAAAGGACAAACTGAGATCAAACTGCTGGTATGTGAAGTGCGGCGATGTAACCAAGAAACAAAACAGCATATGTACCTGAACTCTGATAGCCGCAACCCAAAAATTGCTACAGCTCAAAATGCTAAACTGGTGCCATTGTAGATTTCAGAGGCAAAGCAATAGCTTCGAACTTTGAACTAAAACAGCCTTGGCTTTTTAACCACCATGATTACACTATTGTTGGTGCAGTTGGGATCTAAGTTCATCGTATCGAGCTTCTCAGACATGGTACCAGAAACTCAGGGGTCACTTCTGCGGTTTCAGCGCAAAAACCTCGGGGTTTGTCAGGCGAGACAATCCACAAAACGAAGTTCATCAGCCAATTGAAACACGAGGTGCCTCTGTGTCCTGATTGTCTGACGCGTTGACTCCAGCGACAAAAGTACATTCTCTTTACGCATTGCAGCGTCTCGATTTTGTGCTGCGTCGGACTCAGTGGGAAGTCTCCACCACAAATATGTCCACTGCTGGGCTGGCCATGTGTTCAATGATCGGATCACCTGTGATGCAATGCGAGCAGTGGCACTTTCACTAATCCAACTCGATGGCGTCGTTCACATGTCGGATTTTTGCGGAGCTGTGTCCCAAGAAGTCCCATCGCCTTCGATGATACCTCCACTGCCATTGTGCTGGATTTATCATGCAGATGAAATCTGTTGCGTGCTCCAAAGGATAAATTCAATTGGCCTAAAATGGGGGGTACCCCATTTCATCATCCTTTTTAGATTGGGATTTTCCAATATTTTCCATAACCATCCAGCGAGCTATTAGGGAAGCCCCATTTTAGTGGAAACCACGCGAGTTGATTACACCGGATTCAACTTGGTGTTTCCACCGGTCCTCAGGTGTAGCAACTGGCGAATCATAAGGACAAAGAAGAGTTGCACGTGGCTCTCCATCTAGTACCCATAGGATCCATGTATGGTATATATGCTAACATTGGGGGTATATTGATGGTACCATATAGGGTAGTTGTCTTGTATAAACAACACCTCATGTGAAAATTAGGGGCCAGAAAGGACTGGGTTTATTCAAATGCCGTCAAAACTAGTGGACTGCTACAGAATCACCAAAATCGAATCATGCGTAATATCACAACATATTAGACCTACCTACCCCCCATTGGTTCAAGATATACAGTCAATGTATTGGTGCGTTTCAACAGTGGTTCCAAGGCCCGCCCCAAACTTTGGCGTATGTCTGCAATTCTACTGGTAGGCTAAAACCATACGCTAATTTCCCGCGGTCATAGAACCTGAGGCTGTAAGTGTCATTATTTTTTAGGTTGACTCCAGTCTTGTAATGAAACCATCTATGCACGCAAAATACATTCAAATATCGTACCGCTGCACATTCTCTCCGTTCAAAATAATTTTGCATGACACCCATATACACACATCACATATGAGGACCCATAATGAACATGGACATGGATCGTTCATTTTTTGGATACAATCTCTGCATCGTGCGGCTTAATACCTACTCTACTTCGCCTAATTAAGAGCTATAGCCATACACGGCTCTATACAGTTCCCTGATACTCATCAACTATAATATATAATCCCCCTTGGAGTTCAGTGTGTGACCTGGGTACCACCATTTTATAGTGATAAAATGGTTTTGGGGGGGGGGTGGCCCTTTATAAAATGGGGGTGCCCAGGTAATTAGGGGGGTCTGCGCTGTCTATAAACTGGGGGTACCCAGGTTACTCACTTAACTGTCTGATGCGGCTGCCTGGGTCCATTTTGACCTTCTATAAAATGAGGATCAGGGTCCCAGGTGTGAAGTGCTGGGGCCAAACTCCGGTCACAAAAGAGAGTTGTTGATTTGGAATTTCTATTTTATAGAGGTGATCAAAGGTGAGAAATCACCAAGTCCCGGGTGAAACCGAGCAACACAATCCAACGCATTGAATATTTTGAAGTTTTTTTGTATATATTGTTTAAAAATAATAATTACTTTACTTCGCGTGATCCCCACCATGACATTTATACATTTTCTTACTGGCAAATCTTCTGGCATTCTATCTGACATATCTTCTGGCATATTTTCTGGCATTCTATCTGGCAAATCTTCTGGCATTCTATCTGGCATATCTTCTGGCATATAATCTGGCAAATCCTCTGGGATTCTATCTGGAATATTTTGTGGCATTCTATCTGACATTTTATCTGGCATTCTATTTGGCATACCTGCTGGCATTCTATCTGGCATATCTTCTGGCATTGATTCTATCTGGCATATCTTCTGGCATATTTTCTGGCATTCTATCTGGCAAATCTTCTGGCATTCTATCTGGCATATCTTCTGGCATATAATCTGGCAAATCCTCTGGGATTCTATCTGGAATATTTTGTGGCATTCTATCTGACATTTTATCTGGCATTCTATTTGGCATACCTGCTGGCATTCTATCTGGCATATCTTCTG